TCTCCAGCTGCCTTCCCGGCTTCCCTCACTACACTTGTAAAAGTTACGGGGTTTTCTGCACCAGAACACTTCAAATGCCTTTTCTTTCCCTCCAGCATCACTGGATGACAGCAGAAAAAATGAGATGAAAGTTACCAACCTATTCAAATCTATTCTAGGTCAAATGAGAGGTGAATACTTTTCCTAATGTATTTCACAGAGAGTATTTAAGTTTCTGAAGCTTTCTAGAGCTTAGATTCTATAACTATGGGCCTGGTTGTAAAAAATGAAAGTTTAGTAGTGAGGTGGTGTTTCTTGATGAGGGGGATCTTGGTTAGCTATTGTTATTTTAAAAAAAAAAACCACAACAAAACAGCCCTACTTCAAAGGCTAATTGCTTATTTCATATTCCATCAAACATCCGCTGCAATCTAACGCCTTACAATAACAATGACAGTTGTAACAGCACACTTTGAAGTTTTATACTCTCAGGTAATGCAAAGTTAACCAGTACTCAAGAAGTAACATCACCTAGAGAAATTCAGCTGGTTTTAAGTAGAAAATTAAATTGTATTTTATAAATAATAATAATCTCTAATCAGCAGCATTTTTTTAACCAAGAAAGTTGAATTCAAACAGACTATATAAAGTTCACATATACATTTTCAGTTCTCTCTCAAGCTACGTAATTACTTGGCCAATTTACAACTGCAACTCAGTTCTTGTTCTTACAATGAACGACAAACACTATGTCTTTACATTTTAGACATTAGCATCCTTCATGTGACCTTGTCAAACAGACAATCATCTAGTAACTACTGTCACACCTTTGAATAGATAAAATTGGCAACAGAGCAGAAATGTGATATTTAGAAACTCGATCCAGAGTTTCTCTTTTTAGACCTTCATCTGGATGGCATTCCTACTACAGCCTATAAGTCTGCAGAATTTTCTGTGAGTCAGTTCTGTGCTAACCACAAGGCTGAGAAAGCATCAGCCAGTCAAAAATAAAACTTAAATCATTCTTTATCCTCTTTAGTGAACAACTGCTTTTTCTCAGAACAGATATATGCAGAGAGTAATGTACTAAACATGTATCTACCCAGGATAATATACAGTTACACAATCTATCAGCTACAGCACAGCTTTATTTGTACATGACTGAGACCTGCCAATTCAAAAATTATATTTTTTGTACATTTTACATAAGTTTAATATGGGTACCTAATAACAGTTTATATACTTAAATAATTAAACAACAGCTACTACAATACACCTTCCATTTATTCTAAGTTTGGTACATTTTTGATAGTAATTTTCTTACCCTGAAACAAAGAAAAAAATTCAATGTGCAATTTTCATTGTTAAGTCTTTTCTCTCTCTTCTCGCCCTCAACCTTCATACGCATTTGATCTTTAACTCAGCATACTAGCGCTGTGACATTTCATGCCAACTTTAGCAAGATATTATAAATCATAAATGTTATATCAGTCACGAAGTATCTAGGATGCCTCCTGCACTGAGAGAGTTATCTTGTGTGGCACACACAACAAGGAAATTCCATTCAGCTGTCAGGGACAGGGGCCTTATCCACAACCTTATAAAACAGATTTGCCAGGTAAGATTACTCCCTGCATCAGTATTTTCAATAGGAAGAAACTTTTTATTATCCAATAAAAACAGGGTTACACTGCAAGTTATATAAAGAAACCGTATTAGCTAAGAAAAAGAAGGTTACACTATGCGTTATATAAAGTATATATGCAGTACCGTATTGCATATCCTGTATAATTAAGCCTACACCTTGAGAAGAACTCAAAAGTAAGTTGACTGATAGATGACATACTCAGAAGCTATTAAAAGTGCTTTTAAAAATCAGCGGATCTCAAATAACTTTACAAAGGAGATCATAATCGCATTACTTAAGAAATGGGAATTCTACTTGTGAGCAAGATGTAACACCCACTGACATATTTCCCTCCATACGTAGGCGTCATTATATCAAGAAATCACCAATGCACTTTCTAGCTACCTTACTCACTTTATCCTCCCCGAGAACATGTGAGTCTTGACTAGCTGCAGCAAGTCCTCCAAGTTCTAGGGTGCTTTTGGTACTCCATCAGGTATGCAACTTTCCCTCCCCATATATATTCAAAGTACTATAAAATAAGTATTCAGTGTTTTATTGTTCTTTTTTTTTTTTTTTTTTTTAAGACCAGAGCACACAAGAATTACAGTATAATTTCTTCCATGCAGCTTAAAAGTATTTGACAAACAGATCATTAACACAGCAAGCATCACACGTAACACGGGTGTGAAATTTAAGTACTGCTTAGGGGAACAGCAAGCAAACAATTTGTTGCCATAGGGCTGGGAGGAGGTGGTTTGTAGGGAGTGTAAAGTTTGTTCATTTAAAGTCTTCAATCCGTGGGCGAGATTGTGAACAATTTGTTTCAAGAGATAAGCATATACTCTAATACTTGAAACATTTTGGTGGTGAGTATGTCACGAGCTGACCCTTTTCTCTAACCTAAAATTACAGATTTTTTCTTGTTATGAGGTCACTTTTATTCAGAAACCTAAGTTTCAGCCATGGCTTGTTTTTCAGTATTCTTTCAGAAAAGTTTACATCGAACAGGTTTAAATCAAACACTTCTATGAAAGTTTAATGTGGCCCAGCCTCACAGAATACCTAACTGTGCAGCACGAGGATGCAAAGGCTGGTGGAACAACAGCCCGGACACAAACTCAGCAGCTTAACTCTTGTAACTGAAGAGGCAGAGGGAGATGCGTTTCTGCCCTTGGGGCTACTGAGAAGATCTCCCTTTGCCTACATTCCCCTTATGAAGCAAAATTCCTTCCATTGTGAACAAAACCCCAACCTTCATGGGCTGCTGACAGACACACCCGGGGAGCATTGGGCTTACCTCACCAGCCCCACCATACTTTGCCTTCCAAAGCAAACAAAATAATCAAATGTGCAAATTACGAGTACACAAACCGAAAGCGCATGTAGCATCTGTGGTTTGCCATTCCCTTCTCATCTGATCAAGAAATAGCCGTGCTACAGCTGGACTTTAACATCCACATTCTCAGAGCCCAATTAGCTACTTTGAATACTTTAAAGCCCTACCATGTGCTCTCCCAGGAGCACGCACCACAAAATGCTTTCACAGACCTACATGTCCTTTGGTCAGTGCTCATTTATTTATCATACAGGCTGCACTTAGCACTTTTACCCTTACAGGGAACACAACATTCCCTGCTACATTTCCTGATAGTCACAGTGGAGCGGCCAAGACCATAAACAAATACTTTTTCCAACTGCTTTTCCTACTTCATCCTCTATAGAAAAAAATGGGGGAGATATTTGTATTATTTATGCAAGTAGAAACATACAGGTAACTGTGGATGGGTTGTGTTGTTCATTAAGAATTGCATCTATTTATACATTTTTTTTTAGCTCTGTGCTTCCTTGTTGAAACCCCATTGAAGAAATTAA